ATATATACACACACACACACACACACACACACACACACACACACACACACACACACACACACACACACACACACACACACACACACACACACACACACACACACACACACACACACACACACACACACACACACACACACACACACACACACACACACACACACAACACACACACACACACACACACACTCACACACACACACTCACACACACACTCACCACACACACACACACACACACACACACACACACACACACACACACACACACACACACACACACACACACACACACACACACATTTGCTGAGAGAGAGAGAGAGTGAGTGAGTGAGTGAGTGAGTGAGTTGTGGGAGTGAGAGAAATGTGTATATATATATATATATATATATATATATATATATATATATATATATATATATATATATATTTATATATGTATATACATATGTATATGTGTATATATATGTATATAACCATATGCCTATTTCAGTTTTCTTCAATGGTTGATATCATATAGGCTTTTCATGTATACAGTAACCATATATGTCCTTTTATTGTGGCTTGTATTATTTCATTTTCAAAATATCTGTGAATAATGATACTCTTCAAATTTAAATTTATTAGAGCTAAAGCCAGGGTATTTTACTCCATCCATTCCTCACCATATAAATATAGATGAAATACTCAAACAGGATTACTCAGATGATTGCATCATGCAACTTGCCACAGATTAGAAACCTTCTTTAATACATAACTCTAAGGGATCACCTATCTTGCTTATTAGGTATTGCTAGCCCAGGGTATTATTTAATCATATCATAACCAAACAGAAAATCCTCCAAGTTTCTTAGTGATCTTATCAGTTTCAAGATCAAATTGCTATGATTACCAAGGACATTCTCCCACTATATAATTGGATACACAATGCCTTACTGGTAAATTGTACTGTGCAGTACACTTGTCTAGTTTGAGGACATTAATGAGTACCATTCAGATACTCTCAAGACCATAATTAGGGTTATTGTATTTCTTTTTAAGAGGAAAAATACAAGGCATAAAGGTATTATTAAGAGTTATTGTATTCTTTTTTATGAGGAAAAAAACAAGACAGATGAGGGTATATCAATCTCAACTGTGAATTTAAAATGTGCTTCAATAACTGTAAACTTGATACAAAAACAGTAATTCAATTAAATTTCCTTTCTTGGATATTATTCTTTTTCATAGTAAATGTATACAGGTATTGCATCTCATCAAACACATTTCTTTTCAACTCCTTTATTTGTCACCTGAGAATGTGTAACAAAGTCCATGCTCATCTACATTATTTACATCTCAAATACGCAAAATACCAAAATATAATAATCAACAATTACTTTACATCATATCATAATTAAATCCTATATTCATTACAAACAACTCCCATGTATAATAAATAATAAAAAAATATCTCTGTCATTGTTGCATATATGTGTAATATGATACAAGTAATTCTGTCTGGCAATTAAAACTGATTTTATGCACCTTAATCAGCCAATAAAATCTACATATATAAAAAATGACAAACACAACACAATAATAGACAAAGATTTTTATCAGTGATTGCAACCAACTCCCATGTAAAACTGACATTTTCTTTATGGTTCTAAGATATGACTTACCATGAATAACATTTAAGACAGGTCAGCAAAGCATGTAACATTTTTACTACTTCCAATCCTGGTAAAAATGGATTTCAAAATTCTGAAAGTCACAGACAGATTTGGAAAAGAAAGATGACACAGTGAAAAAATTGTAAACTAATGTATGAAGTTTTTGCTATTATCTGTAATTATATGATACATTTTCTCCTATTTCCAACAAATCAGGGACATCCAAAATCAAAGTTCTATACTATAGTGCTTCTCATACTACATAAACAAACACATACATGATGCTTGTTTACAAACAAATGCACTGGGTTAAAGGCTTCAGTAATTGATAATGCAGCATCTAAGCACACAATACTATGGACTTTACTTTATGGATATAAAACACAGCCAACGTTTACAACTATTTTGTGCAAGTGTCATTCAAGTTGAGTATATTTACCAGTTCTATTATATTTCATACTATACTAAAGCTACTTTTAGCTGTGCATGGAAAAATCACTTACCTTTTCTTAAAATATTTTTTTGAGGAAGTAAAAATAACATTTGCCAAACTTTGAAATTATTCTTTTCAACTTGCATATGAAACCTGCTAGCTTTGTGCCTTGCATTGACCTCTCCTACATATATTTCATCATATCACTTTCATACACTGCAGTATTGTAAAGTCACATATTGTTTATTGAATATATATACACATTTCTGTGTAGAAATACTACTTATAGCCTTTTACATTCACTTAGCTTAGCATTACACTGGTTATCAAATATACCTATTCAAAGCTTTGCTACTCAACACTAATTATTCAATGAAATCCTCATTTCATGTTATATAAATACATCTACAATAAATTAAACCAATAAAGTTTCAGAGTGTTCTCTTCACAAAATCAATTAACATTATTGACAGAATCACATCTGCAATACCAACAAGGATGATTTCAATGAAATCAAAGGACAATTTCACAGAGAACAACTGATCAGTGAAAACAACTTACCCAACTCATAAGTGATAAAAAGCTGTCACATATATATCTACATCTACAGCAAAAGACTCTTCTCCTTAACAATAAAACATAAAAACATAAAAATCTGTACCTATGCCTTAGATCAAGAGAGTATTTTCACATAAAACATCTTCCTTAGCCAACATTCCTTAACTAAAATGCCAACTAAACAGCACACCACCAGCTAGAAAACCACTTACAAATCCTTGATCCTTTTCCATATCATACCATCAATTTCAAAACATTCTTTACAATATTCTGCTTAGTAAATCTATATCAAGACAATATTTCCTCATGTATGGAGAGTCAGTGATCACCTCCTGCATAAGATAGTTTTCATTTCTTTCCAGTACATAAAAGTGTAGCAAACAACTGTTTTGGAGGGATCTAGACATTATTCATATTACCAGGCTAAGCACCTGGTTGATGATGATCAAGTGCAAAAGATTCCAATCGCTCCTGGAATTGACGCTGTGTGCATAGAGGTTGTCACATGGAAATGCAACCTTCATAGAAAAAGTTTGCATATTAAGAAATGAAAACAATATCAACATTGAATATGTTTGCATTCACTCCACAAGCAATACAGGAAAATGCCATCATTACTTTGGATGCAAGTACACCATATTGATGACTTTGTCCTACTATAATATGTGAAGAAGCAAAAAAAAATCTTTTGCACAGGCAAAAACATGTTTGTAAAACTGCCAATGAATTTAATGATACTAGTATTGCAAAATCTTTTCTGCAAAGGCACAATCTTGTTGGTTCCTGTAACATGCAGACATGATCACGAAGACTCCCAGTCTAATGGTCTGCTACCCGTTTT